ATGTTACGACATTAGGTGACGTAACAGAATTGTTGTGTTGTCACAGTAATAAATCTACGAAAAGCAGAATAAAGAACACAAAAATTTAATGTGGTTCGGATACAAACGTACCCTACATCCACGAGGACTTGCAAAACTAGTTCAGATTTATGTGTACATTAATAGGACTTAATAAAACACTAAAGACTCCCTCTTTATGTGATACGCCGTTCTTGCACACGACTCGAACTTGTTGATAATCAAAGCAATTCCTCCTCCGCACTCTTGGACTTCCTCCAATGTTGAACTTCCTTCAAACGGCGGATCGACCTCTCCCGAGATCTTTTAAGCACTTCTCCCGAAACGCCGATCTTCTTTATGGCCTGGTAGAAGAAACCTGTTCTGTTGCCACACCTGCCGTGCAGACAGGGCTGCAGCACGGGCTGCACCCTTCAAAGCCTTTATGCTGGGATTTATCTTTTTTTAAAGCTCCATCGGACTCATATGAGGTTGAGGGCCTTATATAGGCACGAAATCCACCACCCTAAACCTAACTTGGGCCCTAAGAAATCGATTAACTAGGTAATAAAATCCTAGTCGATTTCTACTTATATTCTAGATAAGTACAAAAGATACCTAACTAGAATATAATACATGGAAATAAATCTAAGTCCTAATAACAATATTACAAAAATAGGACTCTAATTAATTCCAAAATAAACATGGAAAACAAATCTTTGCCAATCTTTAATTTCCACGTATGGCGGATTTCTTCAATCTTCACAAATAGAAATCTCGTGCCAACACTCTCCCAGTTCGTTTTCTACACCACCCTAGGTGAGCTAATATTTTAGCATCATCAATATATAATCTATTTAAAAATTCAAAATTTAATAATTAAAATAAATTAAGAATAAATGTATCATCTGCAACCCTATGTAGGGTTCTGTCTGAATGAAAAATATTGAATTAATGATTCCTTACAATGCTAACAAACGTAGTTACAGCTCATTAATCAATAGTAATAAACTGCACATTTTGAAACTGAAGTTTTATGTACAAATCATTTACTGCTAGAATAAAAAATAAAAAAACAATTACTATTGTTTATTGTTGAGAATGTAATGTGACGATAAAATATAATTATAATTATTATTTAATTTGCAAATATTTCAAAAACAAAATCATGATTTCGACGACACAAATTAAATCTCAGGGTATATTGGCTTGATTGATCATGAAAGGGTAATTCTCATTAATGGTCACATAATGCTAGGGGTGGTAAACGAGCCGAGCCGACTCGTAAGCTCGACGAGCCGGCTCGTAAAAAGCTCGAACTCGGACTCGAGGTTTTCGAGCTCGAGCTCGAGCTCGCGAGCTCGAGCTTTCTGGCGAGCCGAGCTCGAGCCGGATTTTAGTTGTTCATCAGCTCGCGAGCCGGATTAATTATTTTTTTTTTATTTTTTTTTTATATGTTATTTTTATTTAAATAATGTATAATAATATAAAATATTATAGAAATAAATACAAATATTAAAAAAATACATAATCACAATTTAGTTTTTATTTTGTATTTTTTAAAAATAATTTTTAATATTAAAATAATAATTAAAATAATAATTAAAAAATATTAAAAAAAAAAAAAAAAAAAAAAGAAATTGGGCTCGAGCTCGAGCTCGACAAAATTAACACGAGCTCGAGCTCGAGCCAAAAAAAGAAGAACTCGACGAGCTCGAGCTCGAGCTCGACAAAATAGACTCGAGCTCGAGCTCGAGCCAGCCAAAAGAGGCGAGCTCGGCTCGAGCTCGGCTCGTTCACACCCCTACATAATGCATATAATCCCCATTCAAATACTTAAATAATAGTTAGTCATCCATCATTATAATAATAATAATATATAGGAAATACAATAATATTTAATCAAATATAATTATATTACATGCTTTATTCCTTAAAATAATAATTCAATTTTACTAATATATATATATATATATATATATATATATATATATATATATATATATATATATATATATATATATATATATATATATATATATATATATATATATATATTATATATGAGGCGAAACGTCCGTATATATAAAGACAAATGAAAAGAATAGTAGGTCATGGAATATGCCATTTCAAAACAAATTCCAGCATATTTTAAGAGCATTAAATATTTAATTATTTTAAAGATTTTATTATTTTGTAATTTCACTTCCCATTATAGCATAATAATGGCAACACATTTTGTTTACTCAATATAGGATAAATTACATAAGTCCTGAGGTAAGGTCTGTTTACGAAGAAAAAAAATCTTCGTTTTCCTATAATTACATCTGTTCTCTATAATCTGTAAATTTTTTACATCAACACCCTTTGTAGGAGATAGATGTAAGAAGTTTGCGAACTGCAGGGCGCTGGATGTAATTAAATTTTAATTAACCTTATATATAATATTATATCAAAAATATGTGTTTCTAAGCTACATGTTGACTTTAATTAAGATATTTAAGATCTAATACTTTCTCTTGCATGTTTTATAAAACAAAAAAAGACTATTATATGTAGTGGTATGGCCACTAGTATGCCCCTTTCCACCCAAGCCATCATGCACATTATATATACACACACATGACTCATGTCTCACTTCCAATATATATATATATATATGTGTGTGTATGTATATATTATTATTTTTTGTCTTTTTATGAATACAAAGTATTTTCTCTCAAAAACCAACCACATTCATCAAGAACTTGCAATAGACACCCACAAACACACTAATTAATAACTTAATTAATCTTTTAAGTTGTAAGAATATGCTTATAACACTTGAAGGATCTCTAAGGTCAAATTGTTTAGCTCATAATTAATTAATGAATTAGTAATGATTTGTCTTTTTTTGTTTGGCCACTTCTTACATGCATGCAACACACATCTTTCTTTCCTTTTATAAGCAAAAAGTACTCATGCACTACTAGAAAACTGCAGTTTAGCAACGGTCATTAGCGATGGATAATAGATCCGTTTCTAATAGGTAGATTTAGCAACATAGTTAGCGACGGAACAAAAAATCGTAGCTTTAAATATAAACCATCGGCTATAGTGACGTGAATTAGCGACAGATGAAAAATCTGTGTCTAAGTTAATCATTTAGCTACAGAGGTTGCAACGGACAACAACTCTGTTGCTAATAATAAAAATAGATAGAGTTAATAGAATATTTTTTATTAATTTTTAGTTTTCAATTTACAATTCCTTTAATTTTTATTTTTCACTTTATCACTTTCCCTACTTCCCTGAAGTCCTCTGCCGCCATTGTTCCTTTCATCCAACCTCGACCACCCATCCTCTTGCCTTCATTCTTTGTCGATTGTCGCCTCCGATCGTTGGGAAAAGTATAAAAATGCAAAGGTCCCAAAAATTCCCAATTTTTGCTCCTCCCCTCGTAGGTTTTCAATCCCCCACTACTCACTGCCGCGGCGGCGCCACACATGTCGTCTTCAACTAGATCTGCCCATTCACATATGAAATTAAATCGGCAGAAGAATGAAACCAGGTAAATCATTGTAATTTCATTATTTGGGAATAGGTTTGTGCATTTGTTTAATATTTTATTTGATAAAAACCCTAATATAGGAATGGGTATTTTGGTTGTTGGTAACAGTCATACATTTCCATTCAAGGTATGCCATAATACAAGGCTTTAGTGTTATTTTTATGTTTTTAGGAATTATTTATGTGCTATTGGTGATAATGATTTGGAAGGTTTGGAGAATGAATATTCATATCATCAAGTAAATAATATATGAGACATGGATTTCAATTTTAGTTTTGGATTGCATTTTATAATCAATATTATGTCTTAATTTGAGTTTTGGATTGCTTTGGAGAATGATATTATGTTTTACTTTCAGTTTTGGATCGAGAGTGACTATTGTTTTTCACTTTCAATTTTAATCTTTGATTACTTTAAATGGATATATATTATATCTCCATTTAAATTCTTAAGTCCTGTGATCATTCTCATCTAGCATTTATTAAACTAAAATCCGAAATTGAGGCTTTGACACTTAATGTAGCAGAGTTAGTAATCAGATAGATTAATTAGTTTTGTAAATCTATTGTATTTTGTAATATTGATTTTTCATTTTATTCCTAAACAATTGTATGATTATGCACATGTAATGATGAATGGATTCAATAGCTAACTTTAAAATATTTTTAATATTTAGATTATTATTCTTGTGTTGATTAAATTCTATGATCCAATTTACTTGTTCATGGACAGGTATCAATGTCTGATGCAAATAAAATTCAAACTGCTGGGAACGTCAAGATTCATGGTAAGGACTATGTTCTTCTTAATTTGCTCATTCTTGTATTCCAAATAAGCTGCAAAATATTGTGACGTAAAACTTATATTTCACCCTTATATTATATATTTCACTCTACAACTTTATTTTATCACATGTTTCCACATAAGCAAACAAATTTGTTAGTTGGTTGTACATATTATTTTTTCATTACTAACCGAATTACTGACTTTTATGACTCAAGAGTTGAGGTGAATTACATATGCCAAATATAAGGGACACTTAGAAGATGCAAATGTATGTTGCTGAAGTAGAAAGCCACTCGGGTAAATTATTGCTTGCCTATCTAGTCATAATATTACAGTTATATGTTCAACTCCAATAAAATGGATAAAACTGTATCGAATACTATATATTTTTTATTATATCATTTTATTATTGGTACATCGAAATTAGTTATCATTTGTTCATCGGGTATGATTTGTAAAATATCAGCCATTTACATCTTTAATTTATGATGTGATATTTTTATTGATATCTTGATTAACTACTATATTTGCTTTCTCAGATTCTTTTAGACAGATTGTCTAGGCAGTGGCAGTAGCATTCAACATTTACAGTTTATGTAAATTGTTATTGTTGATTATTAATGTAAGTTTACTTAACATTCTATGTATTGTGTGCATAACTTTGATTGCTTGTCTCAATAGATGTTGTCCATTTTTATGCTGTAGCTTACAAAATGATTGGATTATCATATTTTGATGGATGAACTGATTGCTACTTCCGTTGTGGTAAACTTTTTTCCCACTTTGATCCTTGAGTTAGTTCATGCATTAATTTCATTTATTTTTTCCCGAAGTGAATGCATCTATATTCTTATGTATTATCATCGTTCCTATCTAGTAAACTGATTTGCATAAGTTTGTGATTATAAAAGACATTTCTTGTTAGCTTTTAGAAATATTAGTATTTGAATTTTGTGGGAATGTATATTTTATTGCTTCAATTTTTTATTTTATCAGGCCATAAATAAGACAAGTTGATGGAGAAGGAAACGAAGATGTACGAGTTATAGATGAAAAGAAATGTGGTGTTAATGGCTATAAAGACTCCATTGTTCGTATAGGATAGGTTTGAAATTCATATTTTGACTATGTTTGATTCTTTCTAATCTTGTATACACTAGAATCTTTAATGAAAATTCAGGATACTGTTTGTTGAATTTGTGTATGTGCAATTAATGATATTAGTTTTATTGGATGTGTATATATATATATATATATATATATATATATATATATATATATATATATATATATATATATATATATATATATATATATATATATATATATATATAAATATTTTTTTTATTAAATTAATACAGTTTTGTAACGGTTTTAGTGAAGGATGTATCTCTCTCTAACTAGGTTTTTTGCTTTAATTAGCAACGGATAAATTAATTTAGCGATGGAATATCTTATGTTTTCTCGTCAGATTTAGCAACATCTTTGTTTGTCATTAGTGACGGATCATTCCATTGCTAAAATGTAGCGACGGATGATTACACAGTCGTAGCTAAATATTAGCGACGCGTCTTTTAGCGATCTCCATAGCTACGGACCATTTCTGTCGCTATATAGTTATTAGTAACGGATTTTGTCCATTTCGCGACGGATTGTTCCGTAACTAAATGACAGTTTTCTAGTAGTGATGCATGAGAGCCTTCATACACCCTTTTCATTTAATAATTGTTCACTAATTATTTTTAATTAAGTAATACAAAATATATATATTGTCTGTGTGTGTGTATATATACATATTTCAACATATATTTGGTGGTTGGGATTTGAGGAATCTTCATCAGATCCAATTCATCATTCTGAAATTAGATCCAATTCATCATTCTGAAATTGACCAATCTTGATTTCATTTTCTTACAAATGCTCTTGCTTGGCGTGAAATTACCAAAATAGCCCTTGGAAATAATAATTATTTTTTTCATTATAAAACTAAATCATTACTCATACATATGTAACTTTGCATTAGCTGATTTGATAGTTCATTCGTACAATTAATTCCTAGTGTAATAATTATTCAGTTTTTATCTCACACGTTTGTCATATGTTATAATTTATATACTTTGTGAACCGAATTCACTAGGTTATATTATTAATTTTATTAAACGGTATATATAAATTTATACATATATATTTAAAGATGAACAAAACGAGAAGTCAAATCAGAATAGACAATAGTCAACGCTTTAAAGATTAGGGTTTTCCCGTTTTACAGAAGTCTGCAGAAAGTGAAAAAAAAAAGATGCATGAAAATAACCAGCAATTACTACACTACCTCTCATCAAGAAAACAATGTAATATACACTTTCTGACCACTCATAGTGTAAATTTTGAATAAAAAATATCTATGTAATATTAACTAATTATTTGCACACCTTTTAATTTATTTTATTTTATTTTTTATTCTATATATGTAGCATTAACATTAATAATCATCTCAAAAAATATATATTCACATTAAGGGCTAATTACAACCGTCCCCTGAGATAAGGTCTATTTACAAACCCCCCCTCATTTTTTTGTAATTGCATTCACCCATACAATTTGTATATTTCTTACATTGACACCCTTTTATAAGGGGGGTGTATGTAAGAAAACTACAAACTGCAGAGGGTTGGATGTAGTTTTTCAAATATAAGGGGTTGTTTTTGTAACTAAGTTTACCTCAGGGAGGTGGTTATAATTTACCCTAACATTAAAAAGACCGGTCGGATCTCAAAATCAGATTTGTCTATTTCGTGTGGAAATAAACCTGGACCGTTGATCTATAACTTTTTTGGCATGATAGTTTTGTGTTTTGTATTTGATTGGTCCATTTCCGAGCCCAAGAAAACTTAAGGCCCAATAAAAAAAATTCCAACAAAAAAAAAAAAAAAAATATGCGTCTGCCGGGAGTCGAACCCGGGTCTATTGCTTGGAAGGCAATTATCCTAACCGTTGGACTACAAACGCTCAGATGAATGAATGCTACATCATATATTATATCAAATAAGTAATGAACCTTTGAAAGAGGCCAAATTTTTTAATTTTTATTTTTTAATTATATTTTTTATGTACTGAAAATAGGTAAGCCACAGTTTTTTTTCCTCAATTAGTTATTGGTTCGTTAAAATTGAATCATCCTTTAAAATTGATTGCTAATCTACATTGTCGATGCAGCATATTGGGCCAGGCACATGTAGCTTAATTGAATGTCATTCATTATTGGGTAGTCACAATAATCAAACTGGGAAAAAAAAATTCATGGCCTAGTTCCACCATAAGTGGTTAATTTTATGAATTGGTAATTACATCCATGGAAATAATTAATTTATCAGTTTTAAAATTATAAATAATAATAAATGAATAGAAATTATGAAATATAAACAATTACAAGAAACGCAAATTACACTGGACTAACAATGTGTGACAATCTCGATTACAAATGATACTCTTATTATTATATGTAATGAAAATCTTATTATCATAATTAACTCAATTAATGTACACACTTTTATTTAAAGATAATAACAATAATCAGACCATAGATTATTTACTCGAATCTCATTTTCTTTTTGGACAAGATCTTGACCAAAAGTTGACCAATGTGTCAAAGGGAAAATCAAGAAAAGCAATAAACAAATTTCGCTTTTAGGACAAAAATAAGTCAAAAAGGAAAAAGGAAAAACATAAACCCTCCCTTCTCTCTCTCTCTCTCTCTCTCTCTCTCCGTCTCTCTATCAGACACAGACATACAGCCTATAGATACACAGATACAGATATACCTTTGACGATTTAATGACGACCATTGCCACGTCTACCCGCATGCCCTCAATCTTTTCAGCTCCTTCTCCAATCTAGCAGCTCCCTGCATATGTTTCTCTCTCCTCTCTCTCTCTCTCTCTCTCTAGAATTCTTTATTGCAGAAAAGAAAAAACCAGAAACACTCTACCAGTTCCACTTTGTGATATCATCATCTCTCACTATTTATTTTTTTATAAATTAAAATCAAATAGCCCTAAAAGAATTTTCCCTTTTAATCAAATACACCAACACAGCTGCATTTCGATACGTGTTGATAAAGATTGGATTTTTAATGTTGTTCTTGATTTGAAGTTTAAATGGGTTCGCTTGAAAATAGGCCGCCATTGAAGAGGGACCACCTTTTTCACAGTTCTTCTTGTTCTTCTGTTAGATCAAGATTTGCGAGATTGTTGCTCTTTAATAAAATCGACTATCTACAGTTGATTTGCGCAGTCTCTGTTTCCTTCTTCTTTGTTTTTCTATTCCAGGTATTCTTCTTGCCTGGCTCTGCAGCCAACGAAGAAGAAATGAATTACGATAAAGCCCACTATTTGTTTACGAATAATACCGATTTATCATTCTTGAAAGAATTGGGTTTTGGCGAAGATTTAAAATTTCAACCTCTGAAACTATTGGACAAGTTTCGAAATGGTGCAAAATATTTCAATGGAAGTTTTGCTTCAACAGGGGTTATTTTGAAGCCTAAGCTTGCATTGGTAATAACTAATAAGCATTGTATAGATTTTTCTTCTTATTTTGTTCGATTAATTCGGTTTGTTTTTTTTTCCTTGATTTTGTTAGTTTGAATTTGGTTTGTAGGTTTTTGCAGATATGTGGGTTGATTCACATCAGATACTAATGGTTACTATTGCTACCGCATTGCGTGAAACCGGCTACGAATTCGAGGTAAAATTAAGCGTTTATTTTGAGAATTGAGACGAAGAGACGAAGATATTATACGAGATTAATTAATCATCTTGATTTTTTTGTATTTGCAGGTATTTTCGCTTGAAGAGGGTCCCGTGTATGCTGTTTGGAAAGAGGTAGGGTTTCGTGTGCGTGTGATCAATGCAGACGAGAACACGAACTTCGGTATAGATTGGCTAAAGTATGTACATTTTATTCCAATGTCGAAAATTTTCTCTAGAATATTCTTGATGTTTAACTTGAACTCTTATTCGTTTTTTATGTACGTAATAAAAACAAATAACCCAAATTGCATGTTAAATCTTTTTCAAGAATTTTACGGAAACAGCAAAACCACCGAAAGATAATTTTTTTTTATGTGTTCTAAAAAAAATGCAGCTACGATGGCATACTAGTGAATTCTCTCAAAGCCGCGGGCGTCTTATCTAGGTAAATGGTATTATATATATATATAAATATATTGTGCCTTATGTAACATAAACACGAAGCAAAACATCCGAAATTTCAGTCTTATGCAGGAGCCTTTTAAACATGTACCCGTAATATGGACTATCCACGAACAAGAACTTGCCCTTCGGTTGAGTGGACAAACTCAGCTCGTTGATAACTGGAGAAAACTTTTCGGCCGAGCAACCGCTGTTGTCTTCCCAAATTATATTTTGCCGGTACTTATTTATTCACTTGTTAATCAATTTCTTTAAAAAAAAAAAAAATTAATAACTTTCTCTAAATTTGTGTGTAAACTTAGATGGCCTATTCAGCATGTGATCCCGGAAACTACTTTGTCATACCGGGCCCACCTGCAGAAGCATGCAACACCGTTCATAACGGTAATCGAAATCGTAAAAATAATTTCGTTGTAGCAGTTGTTGGAAGTCAGTTATTATATAAAGGTTTATTGCTAGAAAATGCCTTAGTTTTAAAGGCTTTACTTCCTCTGCTAGAAAAAGGTTCAAATAATTCTCGTCTTAAAATACTCGTCTTGATCGGAAACTCCACTAGCAAGTTCGGTACTGCTGTTGAGGTACCGTACCGCACTTTCTTCATTTTTTTTTTATTATTATTATCTTTTTTAAATTAATTATGTGTTGAATTTCTTTTGGCAGACAATTGCACAAAACTTGAACTATCCAAATGGAACAGTGAATCATATTGGTGTGGATGGAAATACAGACAATGTTGTGAGAGATGCCGATATTTTGATATACGGATCGTTTCTTGAAGAAAATATTTTTCCGGAAATTTTATCGAAAGCTATGTGTTTAGGGAAACCTATAATCGTACCCGATTTACCGATTATACAGAAATATGTAGGTACCTATTATAATTTATGTGTACTTCTTTTAAGTATATTCTATCTAAAAACGGTTTTAATTTATTTATTTATTTTCTTAGGTTAGGGATGAAGTGAACGGGTATCTTTTCCCGAAGGAGAATATTACTGTTCTTACACAAATCATGTTTCGACTTTTCTCGAAAGGAGAATTTGCTGACTTGGCTCGAAATGCTGCGTCGATCGGAAAATTTGTAGCTAAAAATTTAATGGTATCGGAGAGTGTGGATGGATATGCTTCACTCTTGGAGAATATTCTTTTGATTCCATCGGAGAAGATTCCTGTCGAGTGGAAATCCAAATGGAAGTGGCGTTATTTCGAAGCTATTACAAATGCCGTTTCTCCAAATAGAATTAATGAACTTTTAGACAAGGTCGAAAGGCAGTTCAATCGTACACATAAGGAGAATTCGGTGGATTTTTTTATAACAAGAAACGATAGGTCTTTATATACAATTTGGGAAGAGCAAAAACATGTTGATTTTGATAATGTTAGAAAAAGAAGAGAGGATGACGAGGTTAGTGATTTTCTCTAGTTCTTTTGCGATTTTTTTTTTGATATTTTTATTGTTATTTTATTAAATTTTTTATTTGTGGAAATTGTTGTAGTTGAAGGATAGAAGCGATCAAAATCGAAAAATATGGGATGAAGTCTATAGAAATGCGAGAAGGGTAGATCGGTCATTGCACGAAAGAGACGAAGGAGAATTAGAAAGGACCGGTCAACCGCTGTGTATTTACGAGCCTTACTTTGGAGAAGGAACATGGCCGTTTTTGCACCGTACTTCACTATATAGAGGGATTGCGCTCGTAAGTATAATAATATTCTTGTGTGCGAAATTTATAAAAAAGCCAAAATTTTAATTTATTGTGATAATATTTACACTTAATTATGTTTATTTCTAGTCTACGAAAAGTCGAAGACCGGGAGACGATGACGTGGACGCACCATCTCGTCTTCCATTATTGAATAATGGTTATTATAGAGATGTTTTGGGAGAATACGGAGCTTTTTTTGCCATTGCTAATCGGATTGACCGTGTACATAAAAATGCATGGATAGGGTTTCAGTCTTGGAGAGCTACAGCGAGTATGGTACGTGGTTACGTAACTTACGTTTATTATTTATTTATTTTATTTTATTTTATTTTATTTTGAAAATTTAATGAGCATGTGTACGATTTTTTACTTAACAGAAATCGTTGTCTAAGAGTGGTGAAAAATCATTGCTGGATGTTATTGAATCAAGAAAGCACGGGGAAGCTCTTTACTTCTGGACCCGTTTGGATACGGATCCAAGATACGGGTCGGGTCATGATTTCTGGTCGTTCTGCAATCATATAAATGCTGGGAATTGCCAGTAAGGCTTAAGATTCTTGATATTTTGTGGATTTTCTTTATTTTAAATTAATTTATAGATTTGTAAAAAAATATGCTTGAATTTTCGTCGTATAGGTTTGCATTCACCGAGGCTCTAAAGAAGATGTACGGCTTAAAAAACAACTCGAGCTCACTTCCCCAAATGCCTTCAAACGAAGGGACTTGGTCTGTAATGCACTGCTGGGTTTTACCGACGAGGTCGTTTATGGAATTTGTTATGTTTTCAAGGTTAGAATTTCTATACATATCCTCTTATTTTTATACATTTTAACATATGATTTACCGTATCAAATTAAGACCTCATTTTGTTAAATTAACAAGGATTTTTTTTTTTTTTGTAGAATGTTTGTGGATGCACTTGATTCGCAATTCTACGACGAGCATCACAAAATCGGACGATGTTATCAAAGTCTATCCAAGGTAAACGAAAAAATAAAAAATTCCACGTCGAATAATCCTTTGTTTAAATATTTGGATAACCGATTTATTTTTGAAAAATGGATTTGATTTGTCAGGACAAGAATTGCTATTCTGGTTTGCTCGAATTGCTAGTGAACGTATGGGCGTACCATAGTGCGAGAAGAATGGTGTACGTGGACCCCACAACGGGGGCGATGCAAGAGCAGCACAAGCTGAGTCAGCGGAGGGGGCGAATGTGGGTCCAGTGGTTCCAGCTCAGCACACTCAAAAGCATGGACGAGGATTTGGCGGAGGAGTTCGATTACGATGGCCCCACAAAACGGTGGATTTGGCCATTAACGGGGGAAGTGTTTTGGCAAGGTATATATGAAAAGGAGAAGAGTATGAGATTTAAAGAAAAGGAAAAGAAGAAGCAACAGAGTAGAGAAAAGATTCAACGAATGAAGAAACGGGCTCGACAAAAGGCCTTGGGGAAGTACGTGAAGCCCGTGGAAGAGATCGAGTCTAATTCAACAGCTCAACAAGTTTGAGAGATCTCATTGGTCAATAAAATTCGTTACTTGATTTTTTTTTTATTCGAAATGGATGCTGCATAGAATTGTGTATATTTAGAACTATAGATCTCTTGAGGGTTTATTCAATTCTTTATTTGATTTATACTTGTAAAAGTTCGAAAACTATTTTCAACTAAATTCAAAAAAATTGCAGATATATAAAGAATTATTTATTCATTTCGGTGCCACGTCGAAAACTACTTGTGTAACGCAACATCCTTAAACGAACCTAAATTAAAAATTAGGGTTACATCATCTGCTAGTACAAAAGCTATGAGAGATTTCGACGTACAATAAAAGTATGTTGTAAATTGTAATAATTTTCTTTCCGGACAGACTCAAAGCAAAAGCTATTTCACTAATATAGTAACAAAAATTAACCTCGTAAATCCTCAAACTCCGACCTTCGGTACAGTCTCACATTCTTGGAGCTACACGAGACACAATACAGTAACGTAAGTAAAAGAGAATATTCTATTGGCATCAAAGGAGGACGAAGGTCTATAATAAGTGATTTTTTTTTATCGTGTACCTCCGCCAATGGTAGCCTCTGGCAGTCGTTCGATGGAATATCTGTGTTGAGCAATATACATGATTGGTACTCCCGGGATCTGGCAATCGAACATCAATTCCGTTGTTAATTGCACATGGATATTAATGGCATTTTGGATTTTTTTTTTATTTATTTATTTATAATAACTTCTAATTGATCATACCTTACGAATTCTCCGCTTCAAGTCCCGATCACAGGTGGCAACGATGTAGCATTTGTGCTGTTTCATTCATCATTGTGGCAAATATTATATAGTTTATTTGTCATAAAACTCTCCATGCATGCAATCACATGAAATCAAAATTGACAAGCGTACAATTTCAATTCTTTTAGACGCAGGAACGAAAAAACGGGATTGGATTTTTTTATTTTATTTTTTCAAGTCGTACCTGAGTAACCCTATCAACAAGGCAGTCATCGGCGTAAGTTCCCTTGTGCGTACAGGGCAGCCTTTCAAATCGAGGATCCTTCGCAATTCTATTTATCCAAAATAATAAAATAAAAAAATAAAAAAAAATAAAAAAATTTGGAAATGAAGGTAACGAATAAATTCTAGTCGCTACATTAAAATAGTAATCTAAAAAAAGGAACATGCCTGAGAGCAACACGATATCTCTGGCCTAGTTTCTCGAGTTCGGCCATTACACAGTCAGTAATACACGGAGTGCCTATACAAAAACAAACGGGAGAAGTAATTAACTAACTTAAATAGAAAGACAGCAAAAAAAATTTGGAACTTCAATCCTATAATCAAGCATTTGTAATAAGTTGCTGAACCACTGTCATAATCTCGAACAAATCCACAAACGAAACTTCGGCCAGAAATATATTCACAACGAACAACTTACGATCTAATAAGAGCTAAGTATAAACTCACTCGAAAACATCAGCAAACAATGTATCGTAACTTACATTTAGCATACAAGCAGTCCATCATTCCTTTCTCCAAATCCAACTGCACAGCGTTTAAAAAATAAATCCGCGAGAGAAATTAATAATACAGCAGATCTCCACAAAATCAAACGATAAACGTAAATAATACCAAACACGAAAATAGAGAAGCAGGCAGCACTCACTTTATTTTGGATGGAGAAATTAATGAAGTTAGTATCGACCAAAACTCGATACGGCGGACCCAGAGCAGTGTTGTGTTTGAAGAAAAGCGCAGACGAAACTTGCGGTCTGCATTATCGAACACATTATCAAATTCAGCTCCATTAATGCAAAAAAAAAAAAAAAAAAAAAAAAAGAGAGAGAGAGAGAGAGAGAGAAATTAGCACTACAAAAAATCAATTAAAAATCAAATATTTTAAATTAGTACAAGGAAGAGAAGAGACTAACACATTTCTGGGGAGATTATCCTTGGTCAAGTCTTTCTTGTTAGGGTTTAATACCTCCTCTTTGTAACTTGAACAAAAAAACCAGAGAAATTGAAAACTAAAAACGGCATGAAATTCACAGAAATATGACTGTAATTAGGAAGAGGAGAATGAGTTCTTACTGTTTAATCGCTTTGTGACTGACTAATTTCTTCATTACAGCAAATTTGGCGGTTCTATTCGCTTTTCCCATCTTTAAATTTCAAATTGCAGAGGCTGTGAACCTGAAACTTGCTGTCGATTATGAAGAATAAAACCCAAATCCCTAATCGTAAACCCTAATAAGTTTTGTTGGTGGCAAGAATGTTGGGGATTGTTTGGCAGAAATTCCTTTTTTTTTTTGTTTTTTTTTTTGTTTTTAATAGTATATAAATATATACAACAGAACCTCGATAAATTAATAATCTCGATTAAATAATAGTTTCTCCCGGTCCTGACTCGGTGAAAACGTGTTAAATTATTAACTCGATAATTTAATAATTCACTAAACTAATAGAATTTTCCTGGTTCTGGCTGTATTAATTTATAGATGTTTAATTGTATATCTATTTAGGCGGTTGTAGGTAAAAGTTGAGATTTTTTTTGGGATTTTAGCCCGTAAATTCGTTTGACTAGTTTCATACACTAACCGATACTATATTTTCGATACTGCATTTTCCTTTAAAATTTTCATTTTGCTTCTTTATTTTATCTATAGATGTAACCAAACACACATTATCCCTCCTCTCAATATATAATAATAGTTTCCGAACATGTTCGGATCTTCCCAAAATTACGATATAAAATCGGAAACAAAAAAAAGTTGCTAAACCTCTGCCCATTTTTCGCGCCATCGTAGCTCCGCCCATTTACATTGCTTACCATTTTAGCTCTCTGCCCCATGTTTGAAAAAACGAACGTATCTAGTGATAGTCAACTACCCTTGGTTGAAGTGCGGAATTTAAAAGAACGAGTGCAGTGTTGAAAGTTTTGTACTTGGGACTACCTAGTATATGAGTTGAGCGAAAAAAAATACAAAATCTTGGAAAAATATATAATGCAATTAAAAAAATGTCGTTCTTACTATTTCTCTCTCGATTAATTTGTTTTCTTGTTTATTAGTCTCTATAACCGATCAAAGGTAGAAACCATAGCACAATAGTCGATAACTATATATGCGGACAGTTTCCTTAAAAAAAATCGATTGTCTGATGAATTTGAACTATGTTCTTGCATGTTTGTCCGAATATTCATGCACTTGTTTCTCGAGTTTTCGTTCCCTTTTGCTTGACAAAGAAAGCTGAAACCACGGTGCTCTTGCTACGATCAGGTGGCGGAACAATCTCCTTCCGAGATACATTATCGAACGGTTTATACGGAATTACAGGTTTTGAGCCCTCCAAAGAATCCTTCTGCAAAATCAATTTCTTATAAAAACCGGCCCAAACGTAAAATATGCGAAACAAAACTGAATAAATTACCCGTCGAGTGACACCTAGGGTTTGCATAGCTACTCTCGTCGCTGGGGTGGATTTCATCTTCCTCTTCCCTTGACCATCTAGTCAACAGACAGAGTTGTACGATGATGAGTATGTTTATAACAACGAGTACAAAGGTTGTCGTATTTTCATACATACCTAACGAGTTGAAAGCACTAGACGATGATTTCTTGCTCAATTTCGAGTCCTCGGTGCTGTAAAACGGCGAAAGCAAATATCACTTACATTTACAGAAATATCACCGAAACCGAAATCGAAATCGAAACTGAACGAAGATAAATTCCGGGACTAATTAACCTCATTATACCACGTGGGGAGCCTTTCATTATCGACTTCGTTTCTGATGCCAAATGCCAAGAAAGTGTTTTTGCAGCTAAACGAAAAAATGTGTTAATAATCATTACGCGCGTCGATATAATCAACAGCCATTCAATGCTAAGGAAAAACCAGTTACCTGAAGGGTAAAGACGACCTTTCGCTTGTGCGGTTTGTCTAGAATCTGTCTGTACATGAGTGCTGAAGTCCACCTTCTTGACGGAATCTAGCTTGTGATGAACCGAAGCAGAATAAACGAGACACTCGAAAAAAGGGGCTCGATTAATTTTGTTTTAATGCAAGAACTATTTATTTATATCTTACTTGGCAAAATGTAATGCTTGTGATGCCTCGGGATAATAGCTAGTAATTGCTGCTGCCTAAGACCTTCTTTATCCGTATACGTTCGACACGTAAGAAGTTTCTTACACATATGAAAAAAATTTAAAAAAAAAATATTTCAGCATCAACGATGTTTTACGAGTCTACAAAATCAACGGATTTAAAATCACCTGATTGAGACACGTGACTTTCGAATCAACGGACGAGATCTCCATCGTCTGTTGCTCGAGAACATCGCTCAGCTTGTAAGCAACGGTGCCGAGATGGTCAATGGCGTTGACCAGAGCTCGTAGAGCGTAATCCTTCAAATTGTCCATAAACCTTGTCCACGAAAACGACGAATATCATATATATAAATAAATAAACAAAATTTCGTAAATGGATTTCGAAAAAGTCGAACAAAAAAAAGAAAGCAACTACACATTTACTAATACTAAATCAGTACACAACCGAGATCGATCATACGAATATATATGTAGGACCTCAGACGCTACCAGTTGTCCTAAAAACCAATCGGTCTCGACATTCGATTGGTTTAAGAAACACAGTTAATTAAGACAAATTTTTTAGATAGATTATTATAAGTTGGCAGAAATCTTTCTTACATCTGCTTCTTGTCATTGTTGAGGTATGATTTCTCACAATACTCTGCTGCAGAATACAGTTGTGGTCTGAGATTCTTGAGTTCCTATTCAGACATTATTTTTTTGAAAGAAAAAAAAAAACATTATTTTTGGGAATTATAATAATAATAATAATTAATTCTGCATTGCCAGAAAAATAATTGGATAAAACAAAATTAATTCTTCTGGTTTAACGGCAAATGTAGATTTACCTGTAACGCCGTAACGAAGCTCTTACTCTTATCAATCGAAACCTCATCAGGCGTCATTTTTTTATTTTTTTCCGCTCGAAGATCAAATCATAAATCCTCAAAAAATTAGCGTTACCGCAAAATTTGAAAAATGGAATAGAATTATGAATTAATAATTGGAGGAATAAAGAATTTGATTACGGTAGAGTTGGAGTTAAGCAAGGTATATATATATATATATATATATATATATATATATATATATATATATATATATATATATATATATATAATATAGAATGTATGTATATATATAATGCGGCGGGGATCAGGTGAAGTGTGTGAGTGACAGAGCGAAAGCGTGAGGAAGAACAACCCCGGGAAGAAGGAAAGAAAGAAAAACGACGTCGTATAGAATGGTAGTTGGTCGGTGGTGGGCCAGCTTTGTGGGTACTTTGCCTTTACAGACCACTGCCTATATTTTCTGATTTTTTATTTTTCTTTTTCCTTTTCTTTTTATGAATAAATTGTTTTTCCTTTTGTTCTTGTTATATTAGTAATACTTATCTCTTATATATATATATAGCATTTTGTTAGGTGATAATGGATAAGTATTTCATTTTCATACAAAAATAGACTTGTTCATTATCACAATTAATGTATTGATATACTAAAATATAATATAGAAAGATATGTCAAAATTTTATTTTCTTTTTATATTTATAAAGTTAAATTTTACATAGCCGAAATAATCACATCTATTTCATTAAGTGAGTTCGAACTCGTGATAACTTTTATACTTATATTTATACTTTACTTATGAATGATGATATGTTCGTGGAGCGGTAGTAGAGTCGGGATTTTAAGTCAGTGATTGGGAGGAACGCATATGATCCCTTATGACTGACTCTATAGTGGCTTCACTATTGCGTGCAATCAAAATGAACAATAGGCTCATTTTGTTTAAACTACATCATTCGAATGCAAATTTTGGAATTCTGATTTTCAAATCTGATATACTAAATTCCACACTATTTTATTGTATACGTAACTAAAAATATTTTTTTCTCTAACATCTTCTATTCTTATTCCCCACTCTTCTTATTTTTCCCTAACTTTTTCACAAAATCACACACTAAAAATATACTTAGCATTCTAAGTTCAAATTTAACAAAAAACTTCACATGTTCAAACTACAACAAACTTAAAATTTGAGGAAAAAATTCAAATTCATATGAATTTGAATAATTAAAAATGCTTAATGAAATTGAATAAATATTAAATAAAACGGAACTCATTTTTTATGATTATTCACGTAAAAAATTAATGAATTTTGAGTGACTTGGATCAAATCATTTTAGAGTGAAGTTATAGAAAATTTGAGTAGAGAGAGATTTTTTTTTTTATTTATGTGTGGGATTTAGTAAAAAAAATTAAATTTCACACTAATTGTTCTATTCTGATTCGTATAATAGCTTGCAAATTATACGAGAGACGTAAACCACGCTATGCTAATCATGTGTGAAAGTTCGACCTATCGATCATTGACAAAGATATTTAAAACTTGGGCCAATTAACGCAAAACTTTTGTAAGACAATTCTTACAATTTTTTTAGACCAAGTTTAGTGGTCCAACTAAAATTTGGGATTGGGCTCTCCGACAAATCTTAAAATTAAAATATGACGTACGTATACATATGTATGGGCCTAGGTTAATATTTTTATGATTTTTTCTCTCGAATCATAGTCAGCCACGTATGCATTTATAGATTGTGTATGTGGCCACCCCGAGAAGATTTTATTTTTGTCAAAATTGGATTTAATTAATCAAAATAAGTAATTAAATTAAACTCCATAATTCCAAATTATCCAAAAAAAACACAAGACTTATCCTCCTTCCTCAACGATGATTCATTCCCCCACTTCCCCTCTGCAACCAAACAAAACCCTCTCCCTCGAATATTCGCATCCCACAAAAATCGAACAAAAATGTCAATTTGATACACACAGAAACTTGAATTCAAATCAATTCAGAAAATTCTCCACAGTATAATTTGAATGGCGCTCTTAATTCCGTCGTCGGGAATTGCATCGCTCGCCGGCAGGGAATCGCCGTGGGTGATTGTTCAGAAATCGAGAAGAAGGAATGTTAGGTTCGATGTTTGTTCGGGGGTTAGGGATTTGAAAAAGGGGGTTTCGAAATTGAGGGGCGGGGGCGATAGTTATGAGGATACTGTGAGGTGGTTGTACGGACAGGTGAAGCAGATCGATACGGTGCCGTTTCCAGCTAAGAAGACTAAGGATGGAGAAGGGAAGAAGCAGGACTACTATGTGAATACGGGCTACGCGATCCGGACCCTCCGGGAGGAGTTCCCGGAGCTTTTCTTCAGAGAGCTCAGCTTCGATATCTACAGGTATTAATTATTCAATATTTCAAATGAAAAAAAAAAACAAAGTTAGTGTTGGTTTTCTTAACGTGTGCTTGAATAGATTGTGATGTAGCTTCAGTTGTTAGGAATTATTGATTAATTCATGGGATTGAGATTTGATCAATTGTTGGAGCTTAGAACCACACAGTTTAGTGCAAGTATAATCTTGCTCTTGCTGGAAAACCGATACCCCGAATGCAATTAATCATAGAAATAAGGCATGTATAATCGATACTTCAGTATGAATTGTATTTATGCGTGAACAATATGGGAAACGTGGTACGATTGTTGTAAGATGGCTGGAGTTGGTTGATTTGGCCATCTGCAGTATCCGAATAGAATTTTAAGCAATTTGGCGAATTCCAATTTGTGAGTTTTAACTTTTAATACACATGAAAAATTGTTTGCACAATATCGTCTTGCAACTCGAAATTTCAAATTTATTCAAGTCGATTGTTTGGAAGCCCACCTTTTGTAAATTGGTTTTTGTTCGGTATATATAAGGTAGGTGTTTCGTACTCTTCGGTTTTGCCTCCTGTGAAGAATAAGTATTTGTCAAATTTTATTGACATTTTGTAATCTTTGGTTCTGCACAATATCAGCTTGCGTCGATTTTTTGGAAGATTATCTTTATTGTAAATTGGTTCTTGTCGAGTATACAAAGAAGACGTTTTGTAATCTTCGGTTTTTGCCTCCTGTGAACAATAAGTATTTCTCCAGATGACAGTTTTGTAACTCTTCATTATTCATTTACAGGGATGATATCGTCTTCAGAGATCCACTCAACACTTTTTCTGGTATAGAGAACTATAAATCGATCTTCTGGGCATTAAGATTTCACGGTAAGATCTTTTTCAAGGCCCTATCAGTTGACATAGTAAGCGTGTGGCAGCCTGTGGAGAGCATCATAATGGTACGTTGGACTGTTCACGGCATTCCAAGAATCCCGTGGGAGAGCCGTAGCAGATTTGACGGTACCTCAGAGTACAAGCTCGACAAAGATGGCAAAATATACGAGCACAAAGTTCATAATATCGCGATGAACGGACCCCAAAAGTTTCAAATACTAACCGTGGAGCATTTGATTCAGTCGATAAGCTGCCCCTCGACACCAAAGCCAACTTATTTCGAGTTCTCATCTTCTTCGACTATGAATATTTTGCCGTTAAAGAAATTCGCTGCTCTGAAATGGAACTTACCTTCTGTTCTAATCAGACATCAGAGATCCGAAACCGAATCATAATGATATACCATCGCATGTTTCTTTTCAGGTACTACTTCTAGAAGCTTTACGCCTTGCGAATTTTGAAATTTGTGGAATATGTTGTATTGTGTGTGTTAAGGCATTTCAGTGTAGTGTGTATATTCTGAATTCTCTGTAAAAAGCATATCAGTTGGGTGAATCTTGTGGCTACCACTGTGTTGTAAAGCTAGTATATAATATCTGGGCTTCAATAAATAATACATATATGTTCGAAAATTGCCGAGGTGGACCGATTAAAACCGTGTCGTATTACCAATTGAGTTTATGCTAAAACAATGTTCAGACTAAATAACTGTTCAGCCACTTTACCTATATAGAGACAAATATAACTGTGACAAAATAGAAGCCAACATATGTTGGCATAGAGAATGAACCCTCAGCCTATAAAAAGGCAACAACCCCAATTGTAGTTCATCACAAAACACAATTTCCAGCTGATCCATAATAGTTTAAAGAATCGAAAGTAACTAATCGTTGACAATATCGAAAAATGGATTTCAAGAAATCAAATCCATCATCGTTCCTTGTAGTAGCAACACTAGTAACACTAGTTGCAGCGTCGGAAGCTGGTGGAGGAATCTCAATCTACTGGGGGCAAAACGGGAACGAGGGCTCACTAGCCGAAACTTGTTCCACTGGAAACTACCAATATGTCGTTTTAGCCTTCCTCTCATCTTTCGGAAACGGTAAAAAACCGATGTTAAACCTAGCCGGCCACTGCGATCCCTACAGCAACGGCTGCACCGTTTTGAGCTCCGACATAGAATCATGCCAAGAAAAAGGAATCAAAATCCTCCTTTCGATCGGAGGAGGAGCTGGCGGCTACTCCCTTGCCTCGTCCGAGGACGCGAGGCAGCTCGCCACCTACCTTTGGAACAACTTCCTCGCCGGAAAATCCCCAAATCGCCCTTTAGGCGAAGCCGTACTAGACGGGATCGACTTCGACATCGAGGGAGGGACAGGCCAGCACTACGGCGAGCTGGCGTCGTATCTGTCGTCCTACAGCAAGAGGGGTGACAAGAAGGTGTACTTATCGGCCGCTCCTCAGTGCCCATATCCAGACGCTTGGATTGGAGGTGCGTTGAAAACGGGGCTCTTTGACTACGTGTGGGTCCAGTTTTATAACAATCCGCCCTGTCAGTATACAAGTGGAGATGTCTCTGATCTTGAAAATTCATGGAAGATTTGGACATCGTCTGTTCCTGCGACAAAGATATTCTTGGGTTTGCCTGCGGCGCCTAGTGCCGCCGGAAGTGGGTATATTCCGGCGAGTGATTTGGTTTCGAAGGTGCTGCCGGCGATTAAAGGGTCGGAGAAGTATGGGGGTGTTATGCTTTGGTCAAAATACTATGATGATGAGACTGGTTATAGCTCTTCTATCAAGAGCCATGTGTAGTTTAGATTGTTGCTGCGTTTATGTTCAATCTCGTTACGTGTGTGTGCGTGTGTGAGCGTAGTTTCTCTTTGTGTGTATTGTACTGTGCTATTATCTTGAGAATTAAGACATTGTTGTTGTGTAAATATCTGGTTAAATGGTTTCCTTACGGATACTAAATCCTGCCCAAGGACTGTTTCAAGAATGTAAGAGACGAACCTATATCTGAAAGTCCTCAAACAAAACGACTCTAGAATAACAGCAGATCGAGTGAGAAACAGAGTGTCGTTACAGATATACACACGACAATCATAACTATATCTAGTCTGTAAAAAGCTCGAAAACATGGTACCATTTCATCTAGAACATTCACATAGCATCATGTGAAGACATAAACACTAAAGCAAGCAATCATCAAAGCTGTGTTTACCTTTTTCTCCAGGGCCCCATAAACATCAATTTTGACACAGCTATCTTCCACTATTGATGCCAATTCTTTTGAGGTGGGCTCTATTAGCTGTGACAGAACGAAAGGCTGTGACCGTAGAGCATATTCCTTGCAACGTTCGACCAAAATCTGGAAAGCAATGATCAAAACCTAGCTGGCCATATAATTTAATCACAAACAAAATCATGTGAAGTTGAAGCAAAAAACATTACAGAAAGCATTCAATTCATGTGCGCTATGTGTACGAATTATCGAGCTCCCTCGTTAACTAAAACATTTGCTAATCGGAATGAATGTGTTATTATTTCAAAACTTAAATGTGCTGAAAACGAAAATTTAGTAAACATCATTACCGAAAAATTAAATAAAACTGTTCAAATCCCAGTGGGACAAAATTACATTAAGAAGAAGAAAAAAAAAAAGAACCTTAACAAAAACGAAAAAAAGGGGGAGCATTTGAAAGTCGATAAAAGACTCTTCGCATACAGTAACTCTGCTAGAAAGAAAAAACCTCATCCATGAGTGTTGACAGCTTCCCACAGCAAATTCTTGGGAACAGGGTTCGCCAAATCCCGAGCCTCCATCGCAGCACTCCTTAGCGTCTGTAACGTAACTTTATTCGCCTCGAAGAAGGACAAGCTCCTGTAAGGAAGATTGTGCTTCTTGCATAGTTCTTGTACCATTGGAGAAATGTTCCTCAATTGACACCTAGGCAACCTAGGAAACAAGTGATGCTCGAGCTGAAACTGCAATCCACCGAAGAACCAATCCATCGAAGGCGAGCAAGCGATGTCGATTGTCCCACTCGTCTGTTTCTCGAACCAATCGTTTCCCTTTGGCGATCCGACGTACACGTTCGCTGCGAAATGGTTTAGTGTGAATTGGACGTGCTGGATTGCGCAGACGCAGAAGCTGGCGAGTACGAAGAGCACCCTTTCGGTCCAGTTCGGGAGGCACATGACGAGGAGAGGGAACCATGTCCAGAATACGAGGATTCCGAGTATGTTCAATGCTCTGTCTGGGATTTTTCGCTTGGAGAAGAGGAGCAAGAATGTCTGGAGATAAAGATTGAATCTTGCGACGCACATGACCGGGTAATACGTGAGGTGCTGGTAGCAGACGAAGAATCGAGAGAGGTAATCGAACGTGAGCTCTCTACCGTAGAAATGGGATCTGATGGAATCGAACAGGGTCGTCGAGACGGCGAAAACGGGTAGGTGCTGGAGATCCGGGTCGTAATCGAGGGAGTTGCAGGCGATGTGGTGGGCGTTGTGTGTCCACTTCCACCACGCAATGCTGATGCCGGTGAGGCAGTTGCCGGTTAGAATCTGGGTCAGTTTGTTGAAGCCGCGGGTCTTCATAATCTGGTAATGACCCGAATCGTGACCCAGGTAGGCGACTTGGATCCAGGTGAACCCGAGCAAACCGCCGGAGATGATGTGGATCAGGAAACTGTCGGTGCACAACACGCCGTAGAAACACGCCATCAGCATAAGGAAACAGCAGCAGAGTGAGATCACGGTTCCGTGCCCTTTCTTCTCGAACAACCCGGATTTGGCGAACTGAGTCGCGAGTTTCCGGTAATCCTTGGAAACCTCGGAAACCTGGAAATCCTCGAGGTAATAGCCGGTGAAGTAATTGTCGAGATATTTCCAGGCAGTACCTGGGTGGAAGGCGATGAACGCATCGGTGACGTCTTGTCCGGCGAGATTCAGGAGAAGGATATCGCCGCCGGGGTGGATTTTCTTCCACTCCGTCACATCGTAAACCTTGCCCTGGATCGAAATCCACAAATCGTCCGGGTCGGTGTGCTTCTTCAATTCATCAGATGTGATGTATTTCTTCAACGTATCCGCCATTATCGACAGCTAAAAACAACAAAAAAAAACAAAAAAACAGAATCAAATCGAACAATGCGCCAATTAGAAAACCTAAATATTTCAATTCGAAGTTCCAACACCCCCCCTTTAAGATGAAAGGGGAGGGAGGTGGCTGAATTGAATTGAAATGAAATTGCCCCCCGACGAATGTGGGTAGAGAGCTTCAATTGTACGATTTTGCCTGAATTAATTCTCTGCAATTATCCCTAATTTGAAGATGTAGAAGAAGAGAAAGATGGCATTTTTATGAGAGAGTTTTTGTGTGTGTAGAGGGTGGTGTTGTTCTTAATGAAGGATTTGTGTTTAGACCGACAAAAGCGGAGAACTGGTTGTTCACAAATACTTGACCCCACGCGTCTTAAGGGTGGACGTGAATTTACACCTCCTTTTGACTCTCTTTTTTTAGTATATACATTTATTACTAATTATTATTATTACTAATTATTATTATTAGTACTAATTATTATTATTGTTATTTGTAGATAAAAATTGTTGGCAAATGAATTAATTCCGTTACTCACGCTCCACCAACTCAGTTACCCGTCTATTCTATGCTACACAGAACGAAATGCATCGGGTAGGATTTTAACACAAACACCCACATTGGTGTGTAGAGAAACCGTAAAAAATCATCTGGTGTAGTCTGATCGAGGGTAGCATTAGAAATAACCCTCGGTTACCGTTGGTTTTATAGATGATGCACTAGATGATACATCTCGTTATTTACATCGGGTGGATTTGAATCGTAAATTTGATTAAATAATTGTCCACTAAGCACACGTACAAGTGAGTGTATGTGTAATTATGTGTAGATTTATGATTTAATTACACGCATGTAAATAATAAGATGTGGTATTTAATTTACCATGCTACACTCTGTAAAATACACGTGGAGATCATACACCGTAGATATACACCTAATAACGCACATATTTAATGTATAATTATTTATATAGATTTATAGTTCAAAATTGCAAGAAATTTTTTCTTTCACCGGATATAGTATCTCATAGATTGTTAATATTATTGGGACAAATCTATTTATTATTGGATAAACATCAACCAACTATTGTGGGCAAATACATTTAGTTTTGGATAAATAAGAATACAATCTCTTGATTCTCTTGCAATTTTAATGGAATGGGTTTATTATTTAAATAGTAACAAATTTAATGGAATTGCTTGAATTGGATTTATTTTATAATTAATTTTAATATATATATATTTTTTTTGAGGGAATTAATTTTAATATTTAGATCTATGGAAATTTGAATTGGTGTGACGAATTTAATGTAGGATGAAGTTCTTTAAAAGAAGGTTCTTAGAGGACTTGGCCTGCATTATCTTTCCCACTAAGTCTTTGTTGTGGTGGTGGGCTGAACAAGTGTACCCTCCATCTATATTCTATTATATTCTATATTCGTACTATATATTATTTTATTATTTCAATTTCACCCCCAAATTTGAATTGTTTGCCCTTTGAACTCCGTCAAAGTTTAATTCATTTAACGTGTGTTGAGGTCAACGGAAAAATAATTGAGCATGTGACGGTGTTAGTTTTTAATTACGGCGTTAAGGTCAGAAAATAAACAAACGGTGTTTACTAATAATGGGATTAATTGACTGATAAAAGTCTTTTCCTTTTTTGGTTAATTAGCATAAGTTTAGAATATATTAATATATTTAATTAAACTTGGCCTTTCAAATCATTTCAAAATATCTCCAAAGTTATCGAGTCCCATTTAAATAAATTTTCAAACAAACCATTGACTTTGTCGTGATTTAGTGTCGAGTCAGCATGAGCAAACCGAATATATATATATATTTCATTTTTGGACGTTCTTGTTGCCTATTAATTAATGCTTAAATTACGAAAACTCCTTCGAACTTAGGCTAAATTATGAAATACACCCCCACATATTTGTAATCATTAAAATCTCCTAACGTTTGTTTCTATCGTACATCGATTTTCACGGGATCTTTTCTATTCCAAGGAATATTTCGCAAAAAATGTCAAATCTACCCCGTCGATCTACATTTCTTTATGCTATTTTTTAAAGACAAAATTGCCCTCAAGGGGTATGGTAATAGTAATACTAAAAAAAATTGAGAGTGTTATTTAAAAAGAATAAAAATTCCGTGTAAAGAACCCTCAAACAAAAACTTTTGTCTTTAGAAAAGTAGCATTAAAAAATGTCACGTGTGCAGGGGTAAAATCGTCATTTTTGGGCAATATTCCATTGACTAAAAAAGATTCTATGAAAATTGCACCCTAAAGGGAATTTTGATAATTAGGGATAGTTGGGGGTATTTTTCATAATTTAGACTAAATTAAGGGGTGTTTTCGTAATTTACCCATTAATTAATGTCATTAATCATAAGAAAAAACAAAATGAAATCTAATAACACAACTACGTTAAGTTTGCTGTCATTTTCAGACACTCAAATAGTAGTATTTTATTACGTAGTAGCAGCTGTCTTTCATTCGATGTGTTGTCCTCTTTTCCACTAAGTTTATTGCACTAAGTCTTCATTATTCATAAATATGCAACGCTCTTTCTTTTTCTTTAATTAATTAAATCATATTTAATTAATTTTTTATTACGTTGTTCTTTTCCTCCAATGGCAGTTGATTATGTTATCCTCTAATATATGACACCTCTGCATGCCCAAATTATTTGTAACATGCTATTTTTTTTTTCTTAAAAAGAATTTAAATTCTGTTACAAATGAAAAAAATAAAAAGTGGGATACTTTAAGTACCAAAAAAAAAAAGTTCCTTTAAAATAAATAAAAAATGTAAAGTACTATTTCATGGAACTATCTAGAAGAACTCGCTAAATTTATAAAATTCAGTACTCCATTTATATGTAATTATTTATTAAATTTTTTGATGATGCATTATAATGAAAGACTTTTTATTTATTTAAATATAATTAAAGTAAGGATTAAGGTGAAAATAAGGAGGCATGTTCCTCCACAACTAGTTGATGACTTTTTTTTTTTTTTTTGAGCCACCACAATACACCTAAATAATCGAATGGACGACCGCCTCCCAAATCTCACCCATTTATTCCACACGTTAATTTAAATAAATAAAAAATGACTAATTTTAAAGGACAAATAATTCAATTTTGGGGGTAAAAATTGAAAATTGAAAATTGAAAATAATATATAGTATACACCGTTCAATCAGGAATTTATAAGGACGAGAGCGACAATTCATCATGCAATTGGATATTTGCAGATTCGATCCCAACTATTATTATTATTATTATTATTATTATTATTATTATTAGTTTTTATTTATCTATTTTTAGTTTTTTTATTTTGTAAGATTTATCAAAAGACCATAAATACTATTGGGCTTATATAATTATTATCAAACCGCACCCCATCATAGTCCAAAAGCCTATTTTTTAATTTTTGGTATATTCAGATTATGTAACTTAATTAAGGCCGGCCCCAATTGTTTTTTCAAAGATTGGATTTTAGTTTTATTCGGACCCAATTTTATATATATATATATATATTTTTTGAATAATTTGGACCCAAAATCAATCATGTTAATGAGCCCACATGAACTCAACGCATATTATAGAGTTGCAAATTAAATTAAACTCTACTTAGGTGGTGTTTGCAAAAGCGTATTTAAAAGTATAAGTTAGTGATTGTGAGTTAAGTTGATATTAAGTGCTTAATTCTAAAAGTTGGGGGTGTTTGCAAAAAATCTGGAGAATCAATTTAAATAGGAAAAGCAAGTACATGGGTGCTTTTAAAATTATAACTTAAAGCAGCTTATTTTAAGAGAAGCAAAAACAAAAGTTGGTTTACAAACACCTAAAAACTGATTACGAGAGAAAAAAAAGCTCACAATCTATTTCTAATTTTTTTTGCAAACACCACCTTAATTTCATTAAGTTCGTGTTTGTAAAAGTTTAGAAGTCACTAATTGTGAGTTAAGTTGGTTTTAATGCTTATTTATAAAAGTTGGAGATGCTTGTAAATACGCTAGAAGATCAATTTAAATAGAAAAAAAACAAATCTAATGGCGTCTTTAAGAAAAAAAACTTAAAACAACTTATTTTAAGAGAAGCAGAAGCAAAAGCAAAAACCTAATTTTACAAACACCTAAAAACGGATTATGACCAAAAAAAGCTCATAATGTATTTTTAAAAGCTATTGCAACACCACCTAATAGTTCGATACATATTTCTTAATCGTTAACACAAACTTGAACACATTCATTAATATATGAAGATGACTAGAGATCGTTTAAAAAAACCAAAAAAAAGTTGCATAAAATATAATCTAGATTAATCCTATTTTGACGACCAAACAACATCTACAATATATTCAAGAAACGAAACAAAGAAAGCACGATGAAAATTCTACTTATCGGGAGATGATTTATCTCGAATAAAATCTCGAAAAGATTGGCGCGAACGAAACGTGTTACTTTGGAATATGTTGCCAAATGCCAACTTCAAAAGATGGGATATAATAGTTGCCAATTCCCCAAATAACATGGCATGTTATTTCACTTATGTATCTAATTACCCCATTCGGAAATAAACAGTGTAACAACACTATTTTATTTTTTCTTCCTTTGTATCAATTTTCTTCTTTTGATAAAGTACTCATATTCATAACTATTGTTCTTTTTAATGAATAGTATTTAACTAATTTTTATTTCTTTATTTTATTTACTTTTAAATTTTTTTTGAATTTTTTAAAAGTCGACAACACAAAAAGCAGGAATGAAGAGACAACCCTTTAGTTATATGTTGGTGGAAAATCAATGTTGGGGACCTTTATTTTGTTCATTTGTGTTTTTTGACCCTACATTTAGGGACCCTTGTCTGCTATTACTTTAATTTGTTATTTATTTATTTATTTATATATTTATATATATATATTTTTTTTTCTTTGTTTTATTAGTGTCTTTTAAATTTTCTTTGGAAATTTGAATTGAAAACAACTAGACCTTTGCTATTTTTTGTTGGAAGTGCGTACGTGTTCAGACAAATTACTTGTCACTACCATTCATTAGTGGATGCAAAAAAATTGTCGAATTTCGTTACCCAACGAAGCGATAATGTAGGAAAAAGACATATAGGGATGAAAATCGAACGAATCAGATTTAGAATTGACACTTCTAGAAGAAAAAAAAAGTGAAAAACTGATTCCAATTTCATTCAAAGAATCGGAAAAATTGAAAATTGGAATAAAAAAAATGTCGGAATAGGTTATATGAATAATTGAAACATAAAATCGGAATATATCAATTTGAACAAAAATTGATTATATTATCTATCAAATTTAATATATAAAATCCAAGCCAAAGATATTTTCCACGGCTGCAATTTCTTTAATATAT